GAACTTAAAATTTTTAAGCTCGACTCAAACTTGAAATCCGGAACTGAAGCTCGTGAGCAGCTCGAAAAGGCTCAAAATGAAGAAAAAAATTCTTAAACATAATAAGACTGAATCCTAAAACTCAAACTCGAACCTGAACCTTAAATACATGAAAGTCTTATTGTATTTTTAAAAAAAAATCAACACATAAATGTTAATATTATTAATAATTTATTTTTAAAAAAAATAAAATCTTAATATATTATATTTTCGAGCTGCTCACGAGTTTTTCGAGTCGAGTCCATTCAATCCGAATATTTATCGAACATTAACCGAATCGATATCGAATAGCTCGCGATCTGTCTCGTCCCATTTACGACCCGCCAATGAGAGGCTTTTCCCAATATCAACAAGCTATTGCGAATATCAACAAATTTCAACTTCATTTCCTTTTTATTTTCACGTCTCGGTCTGGATTGTGAAGCCATTGTTGGACTGGCCATGCACTCGGTCCAAGCCTGCTCCCAATTAGTATAACCCAATACTCCAAGTCAAACCACCTTGGAAGACACATTGGGTGTTTTAGGGATGATAAAAATACTCGAAATCAATTTTTTTTTATTTCACCCATCTTGATCCAATATAAATATATTAATTATAAATTTTAATGGGTGAACCTTGGACATGATTTATAAGTAATTGTCGGGACTACTTGAATTTTATTGTTGATGTTAGGAATGCGAGCAGAAAAATAACCAAGTGATATTAACATAAAATAAAACATACATAGGAGGCGAGATTTAATATGAGTTGGTCTTGTCTATCTCCACAGTCAAGATGAAGAATAATTCATTATAGACGTAGAGAACACGGAGAGTACAAATGAATGTGTGTCTAGTGCAATAAAATCCGTGGACCTTTAAGGGTTTATATTCCATTGGAGTGTCTGTTAGGGCAATCTTTTTTCATATTATAACATTAAGATTCTAATTTCTAGTCCTACTTAATGATCTAAATTTAAATAAATTGTTTTATTATTAAAGTAATTTTAAAGCGTTATCGAACTTGTCTCGACTTACGGAGAAATATAGAGAAAAACAAAGGGAAATTAGGGTTTTTTTTAATATAAAATTGGAGTAAACAAGTGGACTTTCTTTCATGGGAGGGTTGTCATGAAGAGAAGGAAGGCAGCGTGGTGTCTTAATAGCCTTCCTATTCTTCTAGCATAATTGGGTACATGGCATCGTTTGTTAATTGGGTACCTTAGGTTAATGTTCAATATAGAAAGAGGTGATGAAAATATACCATTTTCCTCGTTTAGTTGTCTAATTTTTTTCCTGCCAATTTAGGTGTCTAATATTACAAACGTTACTATTTTAAATATCCTGACTATAATTATCGTTAATAAATCATGTTAAGTGACACGTGTTGCATTCATGTAATTTAAAAAAAATATTTTTAAAAACATAAAATTATATTTTAGAAAAATCCAAAAAAAATTCTAATCTTAAAAAAACTTTTAAAACATAATTGCAATCCTTATACCCACGCTGCTTGTCTTCGTATGCTGCCATTTTCGTCAACTGAACATCCATCTAGTGGAACCTCCATCGGACAACAAGATCTTGACGACCCAGAACTCAAAAACCAACGGCACCCACGCGACCCGAAGTTTAAAAAATATCTTAAAAAATTAGATCCTCACGACCCGACAACACGATTGATGATAAGAGCAACAACGATCGACAAGGGAGACGGAAAGGGTGGTAGCGGTCGTGGCTAGCAAGAGAGGTTGTAAGATTAAAGTTAGGGATTTTAAGGTTGATTTTAGGGATTTGGGTTTTTTGTTGTTGTAATTTTAGAGAAATTAGGATTTTTTAAATATGATAATATTGATGTCTTTTAAATACATTTTTTAGAATTACATGAATGCGACACATATCACTTAATGAAATTTTTTAGCAACGGTTACAATCGGGTCACTTAAAATGACAGAGTTTTAACATTAGACACCTAAATTAACCGGAAAAAGTTTAGATATCTAAATGAAAATAATATAGTTTGATTTTTTATATTAAGCCTAAATTAATTATACTTTATCTTGTCATATTAAAAAACCTATTATTTTAGTTAATTTAGAATCTTCTTGTATCTATTTATAGAGTAATTTTAGGCCATTTGAAGACCAACTAGTTTTATTAGTGAAAAGAGAAAATGTTAAAAGAAAAAAAAAGCATAGAACAAAGAGGAAGAGTTAAATTTAGTTGAGAAGTTTATAATTTACTCTAAAAATCTACACTCCCTTTCTCATGGGTTTTAGGCTATTTTTAGTATGGAATATGCTATTATTACCTCTCTAAAATTTCCTAATCTCTAAATTTATTTTATTGTTTTAGGTCAAATTATAGTTTTATAGTCCCTCTACTATGTTAAGATTTTAGGATTCAACCATTATATTTTAATTTACCCTACTTTAATCACTTTATTTTATAATATCATTAGCTAGTTCAAAATATTAACACATTTAACTATTCTAGTTCATAGGTAAAGGAGGAAATTGTATTTAGAGGGCCAAATTAAATTATTAATTTTTGGGGATATTAGAATGCAAATCTTTCATTATATTAAATAGTAATTTTAAATTTTTAAAGAGTTTAGTTCTTGGCTTCACTCACCCCTCCCCACTCATAAATAGGAGAATATTAAGTGTTTAAGTATGTTTGATTTCATATTCTTCTATATAATGTACCAGTAACTGTAACACCCTCAGATCGATGAGGGCCACCAGAGCGACTCAGACTGAAAATCCTGAAAAATTTAAAACTTTCATTAATCAATTGAAAACTGTAAAATAATTTATAGATAAAATACAAGTTCAGAACAACATTTATATATTAAAAGTCAAATTCAAACATATCCAGTAATAAAACAAGTTTCAGACTCGAATATAAAAACATAATACAACCCACATGCCCCCTAAACACATGTACCGTACTCCGCAAGCAACGCCGGTGGAACTTATCTACTGATGTCGGTAAAAGCACGGGAACAACCTCTTTAACCTGAAATGGTAATTAACAGATTAGGCTTTGGAAAACTCAGTAATACAGAACTACCAGATGAATACAATATTATTGTAATATTTAAATTATTTGAATAGAAAATTGAATGAAAAAGACCCATACCAAAAACCAACTCTCTCGAAAGAAAGGACAAAGAATTACATGGACATTCTTTCAAGTGTACTCTGTGATGATGGCTCAGTGAGTTTTGTGGAAATAAAAGAAACAAAGGTTCCCCCTCTGATGGTTCAACAAATAAAGCAAACGAGGCTAGGGCTATTAATTGTTGCACATGCAACAATTAAATCAAGAATCCTCTTTGGTCCTATTTCTTCCATCACAAGCATTCCATTCTTAATTTTCTTCTACTTGTTTCTTTCACAAGCAAAGATAAACTATAGTTTCTAAATAAAAAACAAATATTTGTCCATGTATGTTGATACGATTGATATACGTACGTTGTTTATAATATAATGTATATTTGAATCTTAAAAACGACGAGGAACAACATGAAATGTTTTGTATATTCCTTCTTATAAAACATGTTTAGACTCGTCCTAATTAATTATTGTAATGTTGGATAAGACGTTACTTTCACTAATAATCCATCATGATTAGCCAAATTGTTGACATCTCGGCATATTCGATAAATACTAATTATGAACTAAAATGTAATTAAGTCTTGTAATTAAGATTGTGGGCGTTGCGTAATAGTAGCCAAAATCGTAATAAAGTTGGATTATGTTAATCATTAGGAAGATGCCTACAAATTTAGTATATTTATACCCTCTTTCATTATCTAGTGGCTCAAATGTTGGTATAAAGGAGTGCAAATTAGCTTAAGTTCCTATTGAGATAAACTTGGACGCCAATGATCAAAAGCTCGATAATCATTAATTTGGATGACATGATACATATCACATCATCACTTTAAGTGATATAATATATGACACGTTCAGCGATTTAGCATATGTGAAAAATTCACATCAACTGTTTGCATTAGCATGGATCATTTTAACTAAAAATTAAAAATTTAAGGATTAATTTGATTAAAAAGAAAAGAACAGACGGCAAAATATCATTTAAGAAAATGATACACCGTTTTCCCAACAGTTAAAATCCACATTTAGCAGAGAATAACTAAGCATCCATGGTGGGACAGTTTTCTGTTTACTGTGTCACTGATCCAATGGTCTGTCCCCACAGAAAAGATCACATCAAAAATCCAAAACATTAATGCAACCACAACCGTCGGATCAGCTGACCTCATTATCATTAGTAAAACCAAACTACGGGTTTGAAGGAAAAAGAAGTCGGAATATTTTTCATCAGCCAATGTATACATATTTCAACAAGCTTCGATACACAACATTAAGTCGATAAGTCCAAAGTGGGACCCCCGGTGGGTCCCACAGCACTGCATGCGTGCCACGTGTACCTGGTTAGCCCAGTCAAGGGAGGGGGATCCCATTATAAGCCATACAATCCCCACAGGTTGACACTGCAGACCTTAGCCTTTTGCCCACAAATAGGGGTCAACATTCGATCGATGATTCGGTAAAATAGGTGAGTCCCTTATTATAATTTAAATTTTATTTAAAATTATTTTAAGTTTAATCAAAATTACGAAATTTAAGTTGAGTTATTCGAGTATTTATTTAAATTTAATTATAAATATTTATAATATTATGGTATTAATTGATTTTAATTTAAAATTTTTCTATAACCATAAATGATATTTATATATATATATATATATATATTCATGTTTTTTTCATATAAGATATACATATATTATATAAAGTTGAGAGACTCAACTCGAACATGAAAATAATTCACTAATTACTAAAAAAATTAAATTATTCAAGTGGTATTTTATAAATTAAACTTTATTTAAAAAAATTAAATCTAATCATAATATTCAATTTTTTAAGACGAATGGAGTTTTGTTCATCCATACCAACAAACCCTAAACCGGGCCACCATTGGTACAGCTCCCCTACATTAAATTCACACCACCTCAGCTGTACTCTTCTTTATCAGATTCCTCTTGGTTCAAAGCTTTGATTTTCTTCTAGGGTTTAGCTCTCTGATCCATTTTCATCATACAGAGAGAAAAAAATGGGTCACCATTCATGTTGTAACAAGCAGAAGGTGAAGAGAGGATTATGGTCACCTGAAGAAGATGAGAAACTCATAAACTACATTACAACATATGGCCATGGCTGCTGGAGCTCAGTCCCTAAACTTGCAGGTTTATTTTTCTAACCCTTTTCTGTTCTTTTGCAGACTATATAACTACAAATACCAACCACTGCATTTGATTCCTTGTTCTTTTGTGTTTTGTTGATTTCATTGATGCAGGGCTGCAAAGATGTGGAAAGAGTTGCAGATTAAGATGGATAAATTATCTCAGACCTGATTTAAAACGTGGGAGTTTCTCTCCACAGGAAGCTGCTCTCATCATTGAGCTTCATAGTATTCTGGGCAACAGGTTCTTCAATCACTATATTTATGGAGTTTTTATTACTTTTTTCATCATTTTGATAATCATTTTTAACAGATGGGCTCAAATAGCAAAGCATTTACCAGGAAGAACTGATAATGAAGTGAAGAACTTTTGGAATTCGAGTATCAAGAAGAAGCTTATCTCCCATGAACATGTTCCGGCTTTGGCCTCTTTTGCTGCCGATGTTCATAGCTCGAACCCTAATTTGATTCTCAGTGGTCAACAAGATCAGATCTTTCTTTCTTCCCCAACTGCACCATTGCTACAAAGCTTTGTTCATTATCATCATTCCGATTTCAAGTCGAATTCGAGTAGCTTCAACTCCAATTTGGTTCACCATAATTTCCAATTGACTCCGATGCTCCCACCGCCGCTTCCTCCTCCGCCTTCCTTCGACCCTTCGTGGACATTGCCCTTTGCAGTACCCCAACACGATCTCCACGATCATCAAAATCAAGACGATGTATTCGTTAACGACAAGCTTATGAATCCGACCAATGGCTACGACAACAGCTTAATGTCTCCTTCTCCGACAGTGCCAAAACTCTGTGAAATCCTCGAAGGGAACATGATCTGCAACATCCCACATACGTCGGTTTCGTTAGAGAACAACATCGACCCACTCGTCTCAAGGCTCTCGTCTTGTTTCCCGATGCCTGGTGTTCCCGGTTCAAACTATGCACACGAGATTCAAGTTGAAACAAGCCGGCTGGAGTACAATATCGACACCATCATCCCACTCATGCCTTCGTCCTCGTCCTCGTCGTCCTTATCAGCGTTATCCAGAGGGCAATATTTGACAAACCCTAATCTTCCTTCGACCAGCTGGGAGCCTTAGGCACATGGCGGATTCATCCCTGTCCCTGCAGTGGATTTAGCTAGGTATTTTCTCTATAAAAGCAATCATTTCATGATATATATATAAAAAGTGCAGGATCCAATATATGAGAGAAAACTCAAACCCTAAATGTTACCAATTAAGATATTCAGTGAGGATAATGGTATCTTGATGATATTCCATAAATAAATATGTAGGCTATTAATTTCCTATATATATATATATATATATATATATATATAGTGTTAGCTTTCTCTTTGTATCATGATCTGTAGGTGGAGGGGACATTAAAACAGTGGGAAAATAGTTCATATTTATACAATTTTATGTGGTTGATTTGGTTTTTTAGGAATTCCTCAGAATTCTGAAGATCAATGTGTAGACTATAACATATTTAGTAACCGGTAATTATATCAAGTTATTAGGGTTCATTGCGTTCTAAAATCTGCTTGAAGTTTTAGTTTAGTTAATATCTCTTTAAGCGTATTTATATATTTCTTTAAGTAAATTTATTATTTAATTTAAAAGGTTTAAAAAATTATGAATGATTTAGAATATTTTATTTTATTATATTATATAAAATAATTTTTTTTCTCATATGTGCTTTCACCCTCATAAGTTTCAACAGAAAAGATATGCATTTTGATTTTGGTAGAGATGTGTTAACGGTATATATTTTTATACATTCGTAGTGAATAAAATAATAATATATTATTAAAATTTTAAAATTAAATTTATTTTTTTTGAATAATGTGATATTATTTGATTCATATATAATGTATAAAATTATATATAGACTTTAAGTGCATGAATGGATATTAATATATATAAAACTGAGTTGAACTTGAATGAACAAACTATTTTCATATTTGTTTGTTTATTTTAAAGTATGTTCATGATAAATTTATGTTTATTAGAATTTTGAAACCGTGTTCTTTTATTTAAAATTTATATGTTCATGTTCATTCATTTAATACTTGTGAACACTAAATAAATAATAACATAAATGATCAATAATCTATTAGTTGACCATATTCTCATATGTAATGGGGTAAGGGAGAGGTAGGGTAGTAGGCTGCCTCCAACGCTAGATTGAGAGCACAACCTTTCGTGGAAGACTTCCGTTATGAATTGCCATCAATGAGACTCGATCCCACGACCACAAGGTTAAGAGCCTTGCATTCTACCAAGTAGTTTATAAATGAATTTATTTGTGAATATAAATAAATTATATATTTATTCAATCATGTTGATTTAATAAACGAACGTAACTTTTTTTTATTTTAATAAATGAAAATTATACAAATAGTTGAGAAGCTCCTCTATTGAGGACGAGAAGAATTTAATCTAAGCTTATCCTGAATCGTTCTCAACATATATAATAGAGAAATAAATAGATGGTGTCCAAAATAATTAAATGAAAAATGAACAAGGTTGACATTATTGTAGGAAAATCTTAAAGGAGGGCCAACATGATGATGTCATCAATGGTTGAATGCTTGCCAGAGGTAAGTTCACCCACAGCTACTAGGGGTCCATCAATTTTGGCCTTCAAACCCCTTGGTCTTCAGCGGTAAATAATTCATTTGATAAATGAACGAACTCAGACAAAGGTATACATTTATTAGTTTATTTATCGAATCGTTTATAATCTTCTTTTACCCGTTCTTTTTTTCTTTTTCTTTTTTATATATTGATGAAGATGAGAACTAAATAAACATATGGTGGATCTTGAAATTCAAACCGTAAAACTTAATGAGCTTAAAGACTAATGGCATAATTTCACTAATTTTTTAACATAAACAGATAAATTGAACACAAACACCTTCAAATATAAATGAACAAACACAATACTAAAAATATTTAAATAAACATAAACCGAACATGAATCATTTTAAAAATAAATAAAATACGAACAAAACTTTATTTGTTCAAGTCCGATTTATTTACACCACTATCTATATTCATGTCCGAATTCCGATTGCACCCTGATGCTTGCCACAATACATCAAAACAAATAAAGGGTGGGAACATCTATGTGAAGAAATAACAATATTCCTTTAGTACTGGAAAAATTAACACCATCTAAGAAATCAAAGACAAAATTACATGAAAAAAAAACACAACAATTTGTGAAAAGTACAAGGTCATATAATCTAGACCACGCTATCTCGTATTAGCAAACAGCTAGAACAAGGACAACACAAGACAAGACAGACAGACAACGTTATTTGGAAACCCCTTGAAAAAAAAATGAAGAGGGAAAATACAAAATCAAGCACAGATTCAATTGACGACTTAATGTAATGCCTCCTGCAGTAGTATACAAATTTGAGGGATTAAAAGATTTCTTGGGTCTCCCCCAAGGTTCTATTGCTCCTCCTTAAGAACACCGGAGATCCAATCTGATGCAGAGGTTCGAATGTCTGACTCAATTTGTGGACAAAGCGATATAGGAGTTACTGCAACCTGTAATTTTATAAACATGTAGGAATCATTTTGTATTTCTGTAGGTCGATAAACGAAAATTGATCCTTCAGCTTTCGGAAAAACAATAGGGTTTAACTTACGAATCCGTTGTCAAGGGCCTTGAAATCCAAATCCTCGTCCGCATCTTCCTGCTCTTTATTAATAAACTGCAAAATACATATATAACCGTATCAACTATAGTTAATTTGTAACAAAAAAATAAGCTATGTTACTCGTGTTATTTTACTCATGTATGACTAGCTAATACGGGCATGTGTCTGAAACAGGTACATTTAATTTTTTGTAAGTTTTTCAATACATTTCGAGGCTCATATCCCGATTCTCATGTCCATATATATGTCATACAAGTATTGGACACTGGTACCTTAAGAAAAATGAAGCAGCATTGAAATAAGCATTCATGGATAAGGAAAAGGGATTAACAAAAGAGCAAGCAAAATTAGTAAAAACAAAAGCATAGTCTTTAAGCTATTTAAATGCATTTTTATGCAAACCAGTTTGAGATGACTGACTTTACGGAAATGATCAATTATATTACTGAAATCAGATATTTAAGGATTTATAATCCGTGGGTTAGCAATTATGACTTACTAGAGCAATAAATTCGGTTCTATGGCAGTTAAGAACTTCTAGATTTCTCAGTTGGAATTTTGCATACCTCCAGTCGAAAGTACTTTTTCACTTTATTATCAGATTTAACAGCCCCAACCGACTCTACCTCCACATTCTGCCGTTGCGTGGTAATTCGCCGAGCAGCACCCTAAAGAAGATATGTATGGATTCAGTATTGTGACTGAACAGTGACAAAGATACCCTATAAAAAAAGGGGGGAAATAGACTAACAGCAGCAGATGCATCTCGGCTAAGCTGTGCAAGTTGGAGTCCTAGGCTTTGTTGATTAGACATGAAATGTGCAGCAGAAGCAGGATGCCGATTAGCTGAAACAGCTAGCCAATTTGGTGCGGATCTCCACGTGCTTTGCTTGGTCAATTTAAAACCCTGCCACATATGAACGAAACAGCAAAGAATGTATGAAGGATGAGACCAGACAAAATCACAAACCAAAGAGGAAACAAATATAGTGATACATATTGTTTTCTAATACCAAGAAATCCAAAACTCAAGCATTCTGGGAGGATAGGCACATTGACCCTCATCTAATGCACAGTAAACATCGCCGAAAAGATAAAAACAATATTGATACATAAAGCTGAAAGAGGGAAAGGGAGCATGCAGCTTAGGTATAGAAATCATAGATTGTGCTTGAAGCAAACATGGAATTTCTATCTGAATAGATTTGATCCAAAACATTAAAAAAAAAGTTACTTGCATCAATCTAAAGAGGTCTTAACTAGATCAGCTCGTCGAACAAAAAATAAATTTGTTTATTTTTTGGGGAGAGGGTGCAAATGAAAGAATTGATTGATGCAGTCATCAGTTAGAGTTATCCCACTAGAACACAAGCAGGTAAATATTAGCAATATAAAGATCATAAGTTCATAAATAACGGGAAAACAGAATATGGACTGTGTATGAAGCACCATCCATCTGGAATACATTTTGAAGTCAACTAAGCACAAGTTCCAACCAGCACAATTCATGTGCGAGTAATGTTAGACCGTCCAACAAGCTTAAGTCCGAAGGAAATAGTGTACAACTTTATCAAACATCAAAAGAAACATGACTAGTCAGACATAATTTGGATTTAAATATCTGGCAGTGGATCCAAAACCCAAAACTGCATAGTTGAGTAAATATAATGCACTGAACTTGGATTATGCAAATGTACTTTTCTATAGAACATTCAACTACCATGAGGAAGATTCCTCCCTGAGGCGATTTAAAACTTTCCCTGTTCGATGAAAGCTTCCATTCACAAGTCGGAACGTTGGACTTTTGTACTTGAAGCTTCACATTTTCACAGTTGTTCTTTTGGAAGGGAAAATCGCAACAGGGGATCAATTCATTAATAAAGAGCATGACAGGAAATTTCCCATTGGACTATATACTACCATGATGCTTTCTAAGAATTTCAGTTCTCTTGAAAGATAAGGCATGGCCCTCGAATAATAAACTTCGACAATGCTGCATTTAGGAACATCCAGCACATTGACATGATTTAAGAGAAATGAAACTTCACTGCTCCTTTAGGAAGTAAACCACTCTGCTACTTGAGTCTCAAAATCTAAGAAATTAAAGGAAGAGATATACAGCTTCCAAACTGAACATTATATAAACAACTCCAAGATTTCCCCAATAAATTTGAACCTAATATGAAATATAAACACACAAATGAATACAAATAGATGAAACATATCTATTCTTCTATGGAATAAGGCATTGTCTTCTTCATTAGCTCTAAAAAGGATTCTTTTTTATGAGAGCAACCCTAAAAGTTTCATCTCTCCTATCCTTAGAAGGAAAGCAGTCAATCAAGAAACAGGACCCCTCAGCACCCGCCTTTGGTCTAATACAATGCAATTAGCCTTAAAAGTTTAATATAAACAGGAGTTTATAAGGACATGTCAAGGAAGCAATGATACCCACATTCAACTTGGGAGGTTACCATAACTATAGAACAAAATCAGTATTATATCTCGTTCTAAACATGATTGACATCCATATACATATCATAGTTATGAAAATCACATTTATTTATGCCCCTAAACTAAGGAATACAAACCTTGTTTGATGACGGCGATGTAGGAATTTCTATATTTAGAAAGCAACTTTTGGGGAAAACACCCTTTTCAATATCTCTAATGGCAGCAGTTATTAAAGGTAAACAAACAGCAACTGCATCCTTAAAATCACTTTCTTGGCTTTCTTCCCTCTTCCTGCAATAGTGCCCGGCAGTTGAAAGAACTTTCAATTATGAA